TTATTATATAGATCTCGAAGTTTCTTTGCCATTCTGACACACCAACATGTAAACGTAAAGCCAGCAGTCCCCTAATAATTGAAAAAAATCTGTAACTCAGTTAAGTAATAATTAATCAATTCTATTTTTTCTTGGACTATTTAGGAGCACCTAAAAAGCACCTAATTCTGATACAAAAGAAAATTTTGGAAAAATATTTTTTACTATAGGGGACTACTAGCTTTCATAAACCTAGCAATCCCTTAGTTTTTCTTGATTTTCTCAAAAACTAGAGGAGCACCTAATTTTTGATTAGAGGCCCTAATTAGCACCTAAAAAGCACCTAATTATTATATAGATCTCGAAGTTTCTTTGCCATTCTGACACACCAACATGTAAACGTAAAGCCAGCAGTCCCCTAATAATTGAAAAAAAATCTGTAACTCAGTTAAGTAATAATTAATCAATTCTATTTTTTCTTGGACTATTTAGGAGCACCTAAAAAGCACCTAATTCTGATACAAAAGAAAATTTTGGAAAAATATTTTTTACTATAGGGGACTACTAGCTTTCATAAACCTAGCAATCCCTTAGTTTTTTTTTGATTTCCTCAAAAACTAGAGGAGCATCCAATTTTTGATTAGAGGCCCTAATTAGCACCTAAAAAGCACCTAATTATTATATAGATCCCAAAGTTTTTTTGCCATTCTGACACACCAACATGTAAACGTAAAGCCAGCAGTCCCCTAATAATTGAAAAAAAATCTGTAACTCAGTTAAGTAATAATTAATTAATTCTATTTTTTCTTGGACTATTTAGGAGCACCTAAAAGCACCTAATTCTGATACAAAGAAAAAATTTGAAAAAATATTTTTTACTATAGGGGACTGCTAGCTTTTATAAAACTAGCAATCCCATAGTTTTTTTTTTGATTTTCTCAAAAACTAAAGGAGCACCTAATTTTCAATTAGAGGCCCTTATTAGCACCTAAAAAGCACCTAATTATTATATAATTCCCGAAGTTTTTTTCCACCTTGGGACTGCTAGATTTATAGACCTTCTTGTTCGCAATAGCAACTTCCCACAGAATAATGATAATAAAGGCTGGTTCATGCATATATTCTTTTTCCTTTTCTTTTACCTTTTTCTTATGCATAAGCTTTTTTTTTCCGTAAAATTTACGGTATTTCATGCGCCAAAAATTAAGAGTTTTCATTAGTCTTTTGGCCGGTTTATACAAATTTGCATAGTCATAATCATAAAGATAGTCTTAGCTAGTGATGTGAACAAGGGAACGTTCTGATTGTGCTTTCGAGAATATTCGCGAACGTTCGCGCACGAAAAAAAGGTTCGTGCTGAATATTACCTTCGGAGCATAATGAGCAAGATAGAGAATATTCAGCACGTTCTCAAGCACGATCCTAACCAATAAAATCACATGACGCCATAAAGTAGAGATATATTTATGGAAGCTGTTGAAGGCGAAGATATATCGAATATTGAGCCCGAGAACCAGGAAGCAACTTAGCAGCAATAGTTTTTTTTTTTTGGAGGCAAAGGTAGCGTTGTACTGGAATATACTTAAACTAAAATCACTATTTTATTTTATTATCAAAAAAAAAAGAATCCTAATGATAATTGTATGTTGAAGTTTCACAGAAAACCCCAAATTAGAATAATTATTGTTATCAAACATGACACAAGACACAATTCACAAATTATGTGATTTATTATGTATTAAGTAGGTATATTTTCCTAAGAACTTTGAGAACTTTCAGCACATTTATCAAGAATTTTCAGAATATTCAGAACTTTCCCGAGAAATTTGGGAATTTCGGGAAATTTGAGAAAAATCAGAATTTATTTAGAAAAATGTTTTGTTTTATTCAGCTTCTGATAAAAAGCATAAATTCTCGGGTCCTGCTCGTTTTTGCTGGTTTATTCTCGTTAATTCTCGATCCTGCTCGGAGAACGTTCTCCTAAAATACTTGCTCGAGCATTTTACATCACTAGTCTTAGCCTCCTTTAATAATGCCAATGTTGATGTCTATGTGAAACTGCGAACGATTGCAATAAGATTTCCTATGTCAATTGACATAATATTTGGGGAAAAGTAATGTGCATGAACACCTGCATATAAATACATGCAACTTATACATTACTTACGGATATACATAGATAGCAACTAAGTTACAGAAACGGAAAATATTTTCATGCATGAACCAGCCTTAAGGCAACTACTGATAATTTTTTAGATCTTCCGGGGCCAACACAACTTTTAACGTAACAACACCAAAAAATAAAATTTTTAATGATGACTCAAGTTATTTACAAAATAAAAACAGTCCTAATTTAAACCCTAAAACAGTTCACTTTTCATTAATTCCACAAAATATTAGGTCTTTAAGAAATGAAACTAATGAGCTTTTCAGTTTTTTGGAATCAGTTTTCCTGATTTGCTTTTGCTGACAGAACATTGGCTACACCCAGATGAGTGCTTCCATGTTCCAAATTATAAAGTTATTTCTCTGCAATGCAGAACAGATTCTCTTCACGGAGGCACTTTGATTATGTTCGGCAAATCTTGTGGCTTTGATTTTGTAAAACTAACCAAGTTTGACAATCTCCTAAAAAAATTGAATTATCAGTTTCCTTGTGTGAAAAAATTAACCTTTTTGTGCTGTGTTTATATCGTTCTCCCTCGTCAGATTTTAAGGAATTTTTAGGTAGGGTTGATTCTGTTCTTTCTGATATCGCTTCGCAAGCCAGAGTTATACTGGCTGGTGACTTTAATGCGATAAGCCACATTAACACCACCATGCTCCTCAATTTACTTAGGGTTGTCAATGCACATAGAGGCACCCACAAGAATTACTGACACAAGTGCCATAACTATCGATTATTTGTGTTCTAATTTCAACAAAATAAGTTGCTCAATCCTTTCTTCTGGCTTGTCTGATCATGAGGCAATTGGTTCCATCTTCTCCCTGACAGCTTCCACCCAAAAAAAGCTCAGACAACAGAAAATAATCTACAGTAACCAAAATTTCAATGATTTCAACTATAGCTGCAATCATGTTAACTGGGCTGGTGTTAGCAATGCTCCAGATGCACTAGATGCTTTTCATCGTGTTGTTGATAATTTTAAGAGGGCATTTCATTTACGTTGGGTTGAGGTCAAACGCATTGACACAAAACCACAGATTACTTACATACAGATGCGAAAGAGCGGCGAATTCGTGGTTCAAGATTAATTTGATAGACATAGGCTGGCCGCACCAATGTCACATCAATGTATTTTGAACATATTTATTATTAAAATGCGGAAGCTCAATAATATAATATTATTTCTTTAATTGGTTCACAAACAGCAAAAAAATATTTTTTTCTACCCGCAAAAATATGTAAACACACAGGCTGGAACATGCTCACGCACTCGGCCACGTTAATTGTCCAGACGCGGGAAATCTTTATCTATGCGTGGGGCCGCTGGTGGTGGCCCGGCTTCGTCACAGAATATCGTCGACAGCAAGTATACGTACTTACGCATCTGTATTAGGTGATCTGTGACAAAACACTGGCTTTCGAATGGACTAAGAATATCTTCAAAAAATTTGCGTTGCTTACCTACTCTATTTGAAGAAATTCTTTAAAGACGAATGGTTCCTAACTTATTGCATTAATTACCAAAATATCCATAAGGATTTAACTAAGAAAGCCATCTACTGACGATACCCTTGTTTACTTGTCCGACATGTCAGTCTCCGGTTCCTTTCAGTTTTTTTCCTGTTGAACGCGAAGAGGTAGTTGATGCCATCAAAGATATAGCAAACAAAAAGTATAGTGGTGAAGATGAAATTTCAGGTGGAATATTATTAAAAAAAAAAAATGCGTTTGCTTCTCTTTGCCATAGATGACTCTTTTGACAGGGGTTCTTTCCCCAGTTGTTTGGAATCTTTACTGGTCTTTCCAATTCATAAAGGAGGTGACACAAATATACCCTCAAATTACAGACCAATATAATATCTTCTTCCAACATTGTCAAAGGTTATTGAAAAGATTGTCAAAAAAACGAATGTGGAACTACCTCACTGTGATTGTTATATTAACTTTAATGACTCTGTACCAATTAGCTTATAGGCTTATAGCTTTGTCGACTAAATTATTGACAATAATAGTATATTACAATCCGATACAATAAAATCAACTTTGATTATGTAATAGTATTTTACATTATTAGCCAGGTAAAACAGTTTTTACTGGTGATTGAAGGAAATGACTAGCGAGCCGTCAGGCGAGCTTGTCACCTTCAAGAGCCAGTAAAAACTGATACCTGGCGTATGATGTACAATAATTTATTTGTTACTCATTTGTAAACAATCTTAAACAATTAATTAAAAATTAATACATATAGGTAATACAATTTTAATAAATAATTCTCTGACCCTACTGACTTGTAAAAAGTTTTTACAGTTTAGCTGTCAATTTTACAAGTCAGTAGAGCCAGTAACTGGTAAAAATCAATTTTCGTTGTTTATGTTTTGACTTGTTAAATGACGTTTTACAAATGAGTGACAAATAAATAAGTTAACAGCTTTCTTTGAAAAGGCAAAGTCCCTCATGAAACTGCGTCTTTCCTGAACTTAAAGATGATGTAGAAAACAAAAGATCCTCATCAAAAGCAACATCCACTGAATCAAGAAAAGTCCACAATTTAATCATTCATATTTCTTGCACGTTTTATTTAGAATTCATTCATAATAATTTTTTGAATACTTTAGTTAATTATTGCTCTTCTACAGGCACAGGGAAATGTATCTAAGCTACCTATTTGTAGCATCTTTTAATTCTGTTTCCTGGTTTGTTAATTTGTTTTTTTTTTTATTTTTATGTTCATCAAATACTCTGGTCTATCTAAATTTTGCAGTAACATATAAACAAATCCAAAATTTCCAGAAGCATAAAATATATTCGTTTTGTCTTGCTATGATAGTATAATAATTAAAAATTTATTTTTCAGCAAGCAGAACATTTCTGTAACAGCATAGGAATTCTCCAACAATTTGCACCACCCAGTAAGTTTCCAAATTTTGATAGAAGTGGTTCTCAAACTCCTCAACAACAAACTCAGGTAGGTAATTTGTATTTGGAATCTATTATTTTTCAACTACTTGATATGGAAAACAAGGTACTGATAAAAATTGTTTTTCACAGGAAGATTATGTCCAGCTCTTTACTACACTAATAGCTAGATGTGCAAAAGATATTGATACTCTAATAGAATCATTACCAAGTGAAGAAAATTCAGCTGAATTACAGGTAAATAGAATTCAATGTTACTTTACTTTTCTATTTGAAATTTTATATAATTACATTATTATAATCTAAACTCTTACATCTTCCCAAAAAAATATAGCTAACATTGCGACAAAATTATTCCCTCCAAATACTTGCAATATTTAAATGATTTTTGTTTTTCAGTTGGCTAGTCTTCGACAGCTGGAACAAGAAAATCAAGAAGCAGCCGACCGTCTAGATAACGTGGTCAAATCTGGTCAGGAATTGCTAGAAAAAATTCAATCTGCATTGAGCGATATCGCTCAAGCTCAGTTGGACATGCAACACCTCAGCAAAACGGCTACGAGCGGACGAGAATGATTGAGGGGGATACGAAGGGTCAGAAATGCATCGACTGATGCTGGAAGAATCAGTCTGAACGAGTGCACAACGGGTACTAGTTGTGGACCAGGAAATACTGTTTAAAAGTTTAACATCTGTATGCATCGTCCTCTTTTAACTTAAAAGCGCTTTTTATAACTGGTACTTTTAAAAATTTATATTGCTTAAAATACACATTTTTAAAAGTGACCAGTTTTAAAAAGCGCTTTTAAGCTAAAAGAGGATGTTGCATACAGCTGTAAATGTTTTGTATTTCTATGAGAATATTTGACTTAACAGCTGTTGAATTTTATATTCAACTAAATAAATGTAGGTGCAATTAAGTTTTATTATTTGAAATTAAAAAATGGTTACATAATTTACTATTATAAATATTTATTTATTCACCTATTTTTAATAATGCGTCCCTTGATTTGTGTGTAACAGTAGTAGGCAATAGACATTACCCAAAATAGTCACTTGCGCAATATCATCTTTGATCTTACTATACTTTACATCTCTTTACTTTCATAAAACTACTTTGATAAAGCCTTCCTTTACTGGATCGAGAACAAAAAGTTTTTGAGAATTATTCAGAAAATGTATAATCTTCAGGAAAGTTGAAGTCTGAAAATTTAAGTATTTTTTCAAATCTAATCAAATCATTCTATTTAACATGTCAAATTACACAAAGTGTTTACATGCGTCAAATTATCAATAATAATAGAAATATGCTCCCGACAACCACTAAATGGTATTGGGGATTCAAAAATTTAAAACTTAAAATCTAAAACATACAGCTGCACTACAATTGATACCCACTTTACAATTCCATCTCACAAGATGTACACAAGTTCAAGACAGATCAATAAATAAGAGAAAAACAAGGTAAAAAACAAATATAAAAATAAATAAAATTAGTTAGGTATTGACTAGGGGTATAAATATTCTATTAAAGGTAAGTGTAAGAACGTTAACAAAAACAAAATATAAAATACTAGCTGACCCGGCGAACTTCGTTCCTCCTCTGAATTATTAAATACCTATTAAATGTTGTGTTAACGTATCTAAAGTGCGTTTTTTTTTAAAGATAAAAGTCAAAATGACATTATGCTGGCAATACAATGTAAAATTGTCAATGCTTTCAAAATTTTTATGTAGAAAAGGCTTGTGTTGCCAACATAGTTACTAAATTTTTGAATCTTTAAAAAAAAAACAGATTTTATTAACTGAATTAAATTCAGTTTTTTTCGATGGTGAATTTGGCTTTGGTTGAAGAAAATTAATTTTTACTCTCTGGATCAGAAGTCACCTAAAATTAAAATTTTACATCATCCCTTTTTAGGCATCTTGTGGGCATTATTCTTATAAAGTCTACCACCAAATAAATAAACTCAGGCACAAGAATGTTCAAAAAATGTAAAGAAAACAAAAAAAATCTCCAGCGCAGCCCTGTTTCATTTTATCTGCACTGCAATACTCCATCTGTTCTACTGTATCTGCACTATTCTATCTGATCTACTCTTTTTGCACCACTTTATCTGATCGGAATAGTGGAATAGTTCTGTTTGGAATAGCTCCAGTTCCTTAGCAGTATTCTGTTCTACTGTATCTGCAATGAAATTACCGCACAACGGCGAGCTTCGTTCTAGGTACCTATCATATATATGGCGCCGTATACAAAACGGTTGTGGCGGACTCATAACCTGGCTCTCTGCCACTCGACACCAGCCGGGCGGAGCACTCCGAACAGTCAGCACGGAACACGGCTGTCAAGGAATGCCTAAGAGGAGAAACGGAACTTAGCCACAGAACGTCAATGGTCAAGCGTCAAGAAATGACAGGGAGACCAGTTCGCGCTCTTTCGGAATGAACGAACCAACAACAAAATAAAATACACAATTAAAACATTGTCATTCTATTTATTTTTGGACATTTTTACTGTGAAGAACAGTTAGAAATAAAGTGCTTTCCTCAAATTGTTTTTGTGCAAAGTGTGTGACAATAAAATCCAAATGGTTTGCAATGAAAATGTGACGGTAAACTTGGTATCGGTTAAGAGATGGCGCCGTATGCGGGCTTAGTGGGTTTTTTTCATAAATAAGTAAAATAGATATTTTTTTTGTTTTGTTTTTTTTTTTTGGATTTTTTCGATTTATTATCGTAGGATGGACAAAGACAAATCCAATAAAGCAAAAATCATAAAAATCAGTCCAGCCGTTCTCGAGTTATAAGTGCTCAACACCGACACAACTGTGTTTTATATATATAGATAAATGAACAAAAACATAGTAAAATACAAATATGTAAATATAAAAATTAAACAAAAGAACAAAAAATAAAAATATAACATTATTGGCCACCTGGTAATTTCCTTGCACCATTCCTTATTCCTTTTCCTCCCCCCAAACATCCGCCAGAAAATCATCTACTGAATAGTATGCCTTACCCAAGAGATATCTTTTTATTGTTAATTTAAACAGGCCCGGTGCGAGTGTCTTAATTGTATTAGGCAGTTTATTATAAAACTTTATTCCTAGACAGCCTGGTCCATTTTGACTTCGTTTTAGTCTTTTATAGGCTGGGACTAATAGGCATTTATTACGAGTGTCATGGTCATGGGTTTCAACATGGGTTGTATAGTGTGAAACATTGTTTTTAAGGTGTATCAGATTTTCTAGGATATATAATGAGGGAAATGTCAAGATGTTGCTCTCTCTGAATGCCTGCCTACAGTCATCTCTATAGCCCAACCCTGCAACAATCCTCATTGCTTTTCTCTGTAGCCGAAACACTTGCATGGCACTACTAGAGTGTCCCCAAATCAGTATGGCATAGGACATGGTTGAATGAAAAATTGAGAAGTACGCAAGTCTTAACACATCCTTCGAGACACAGTTTGCAAGGTTTCTCAATATAAATAAATTTGTGTTGAGTCTTTTTGACAGACATTCAACATGTTTGTCCCAGACCAACTTCGTGTCGAGGGTTATACCCAACAAGTTTGCTGTTTGGTCAGGAACGTCTAGCTCTCTCAAGGAGAATGTTATTTCTTGGGTTTTTTGAGTGTTTAGGACTAGAGCATTTGCAGAGAACCATGTTTTCGCCCTCGACAGTGCCTCCCGCGACCCAGCCTCGGCCTCAATCGCACTAGGACCTGTGGCAAGGATGGTAGTATCATCCGCAAAGAGAAGACACCTTTCAGGGGACACCAGAGGCAGATCGTTAATATATATTAAAAACAATATTGGACCCAAGATGGAGCCCTGTGGTACTCCCATACCAATGCCTCTCACCCCGGACTCCACCCCACCTACTCTCACCACTTGGGATCTTCCTTCAAGATAGGAACGCAGATCTATGCTGCTCTCATGAAAGCCATAGTATGCAAGCTTACCAATTAACAAGTCGCGGGAGACACAGTCGCAGTGGCGACGCTAGGGTGTGACATTAGGGGGGGCCAGACTGGGCCAGAAAAATTTAGGGGGGGCACTTGTTTTTACTTTATTGCTTTTTTTTGGAATAAAAAATGGGAAGTCGACACTAATATGTTTGGGGGAATCCCAAGAAAACTTGACCTTAAAGGATTGCCTATTGAGCTGAAAGTGTCTATCATTTCAGCCGCAGACCTCAACTTTCGGCGTAAAATGCATTAGCCGAACCTGAATCGCAAGCATCCCATCAAGGCCTGCGGGTGACGTCACCACTATACTTTAGCCTAGTACTCATAACCGCGAAATTTGCTCTTTTTTGACATTGCATTGACAATTTGACGCTTTATGCATGAATCAAACGTCAAATCGTCGAAGCAATGTCAAAAAAGAGCGAATTTCGCGGTTATGAGTACTAAGCTTTAAGCTGCTGATAATGGTGACGTCACTCGCAGGCCCTGCCGACTCGAGAAATGGCGAACGTAGGTACGCCTAAAGCTTACTTTTCATGCATCCGTTTTTCCGTCAGTCCGATGATCTGGCCTATTGGTCCAATTTTTTGGCGCCAACCTATTGGACCAATAGAAATACTTCCTATCGTGGAATTGACGGAAAAACGGATGCATGAAAAGTAACCTTATGAGGATGAGCAAGGATGAGTAATCCTGAGGCGGGATGGTGTAATGGATAGAAATCCTTATCCCTTTTGCTATGGCACTTGCTGTCTTCTTCTCTCTTTTCGAAATCAATAGAGAGGGGACGTCAGTAGCGAAAATATCTCTATTCGTTACAGAATTCTACATCTGTTAATTTACGATTCTTGGGGGAATCCCAGGAAAGCGAAAACATCGTCGCGATTACCTGTGCCCATCGAATATAGAGTTAACCGGCACAGGCTGCTGATGTTGCATTACATTGTTGCTGGCATGAGAGCAAGTTTTCAGGGGGGGCCAGCTAAATTTCAGGGGGGGCCCGGGCCACCTCTGGCCCCCCCCTGGCGTCGCCACTGCACAGTCGAAGGCCTTACTTAAGTCACATAGCACAGCAGAGACATACCCATGATTTTCAAAAGCCTCGACAATCTCCTCAACCAGTTGAAGCACGCACAAGGTTGTGTTAAGATTCTTGCGGAACCCATACTGACCCGGATTAAATAGGCCATTTGCTTCCAAGTATGCAATTATTTTAAGCGCCATACACTTCTCAACAATTTTAGAAAATACAGGCAATAAGGATACGGGTCTATAGTTTGATGGATCATTTGGTTCTCCTTTTTTGAATATTGGTATAACCACAGTCCTCTTCAAACAAGTGGGAAACACAGACTCTTCAAAACAGTAATTTATCAGTTTTGTCAGGATGGGAACCAACTGGTTCTTACAGCATTTTTACCAAGTCAACATTTATACCATACATATCTTTACTCTTTTTGTTTTTTAAGTTGGTAATTACTTCCCGTACCTCATTAAAGGAGACTTTAGAGAGAGTAAATCTATGCTGGGACAAACTATCTTTTAGTTTTCCTAAATTCACTAATGGGTTGAAATCTGTGGGCGCAATGCTTTCTTTTAGGTTTTCAGCAATGCTTTCAAAGAAATTATTAAAGTCATTTGATGATATAGATGTGTTATTCTGGTTATTCTTCGGGGTTAGGCCCCTATAATCATTTATTATATTCCAACAACACTTTATTGGATTATCCGAATTCCGGATAAGTCGATCATTAGTGCAAATTTTTGACTCTCTTATAGCAGATTTATACTGATTTCTCTATGTGTTTCGTTGTAGTCTAAGTTGCTCTGTGGATTGGCGTCTAATACAGATCATTCAACCAAGCAGGTGATTTCTCATATTTTTTAAGTTGTCATTGAACCAGCTTATATTGGTGTTCCTATTTGCATTGATAGTGAACAGTTTTTCTGGAAACGCTTCAATGTAAATGCCCTGCATAGACT